GGAGGAAATTAAGAGGAAAGAGAAGGAAGAGATGGAGGAAATTAGGAGGAAAGAGAAGGAAGAGATGGAGGAAATTAGGAGGAAAGAGAAGGAAGAAAGGAAGGCGGGGAAGGAAGAAATGCTGAAATGCTGGCTCCAATACTTACAGTATTTTAATTTAAGTCTGTTGTATTTTATCTTTGTTGTACTGTGACTTACAGCATTTTAATTTAATAGAAGTCTCTGTTTTATTGTATCTGTGTGTTTCCTTGATTTTCATAATATAAACTTATATAAAAGTGTCCTCGCAAGTCTACCCTTGCCTATGGCCTCGCAAATCTTAAAGCTGCCATTGGATATTTTCACCCAAGAAATTCCCGTACGGTGCACAAGGTTCAACAATAGACAGCAAACTTAGTAGTCGCCAACCGTTTTTTTTCCTTGTTTATATCTTCTTCCACCTTTTATTAGCAAGTAATTTATTTCAACTCAAATTACATAGTTTTCTGATATAATTTATACACTAAAATACCAGAATTCTTATTACCTCCGTCTCCCTCGGGAGTTGGCTAACCAAGCTACTAGATGACAATTATATTTTAACTGGGATTGTAGCAACCCTCGTTCGTCCGGATGTTGTGCTGAGACGCATCTGACAGTAACCAAATACCAAAGGGTGCAGGAAGAGAATTGGAACAGTGATTGACCACAGTGAACGCTTGCACACTCTCGCCTCCATCGCAACGTTCGCAAGTCTGAACTCAATAGGCGGGAAGCTGTGTATCGTGGTACCGTGTACATACATGCTTATTTACCTTATTTACTAAGCTACAGCGTCCACAGTACTGCTCAGTACGGTTAAATGTGGACTGTGAAAGAAATTTTGGAGGTGCAGTAATGGCAATCCATATGAAATATAGTGTGAATTTAGGTGGAGAGCCGGGCGTAATGAGCAGTTCTATACATCATATGCCATGTCAAATACACGCTGATGGCGAAGCCAGTGTTTCAAAATATTTCAAACCGTATATCAGAAAGCAGGATGGAAATGAAGATGGTACGTACAGAAAACCACGTCTCAAAAAAAAGGTATATGTAAAACTGTACACTTAGAAAGATAAATATGTAGATTGATTGTATACATTTCAAGGATTGTGGTTACATAGGCTGAGGAACACGTCAGTATACAAACAACCACGACAAGCAGGTTATATTAGAAAAGTAGTAAAGAGTTGAAGGCGGTCCCCATTACCTCCACACGACAGCCCCAATAAAAGTCATAAGGTTGGGGTTATGGACATTTATGTCAGCTTCTTAAACGTAGGCCTGAATAAGTTTTTGAACTAAGAAAACTTCGTGGAAATAATTATACGGAATCCCGTGTTACTGTTGGTTGAATAGAAATATACGATATCAGCGAGTGAAAGTAAATGAAATGCACTGTCTTTGAAAGTTCAACGTTTTGCTTATTTGGCTGTCAATTTGGAAACTAAGGAACTTCGTAGTTTTAGCTTCCTATACAGGTTTAATACAATAATTAATATTCATATCAGTTATGTGTTTATTTAAAAATTTTACATCATTCGTTTCATCAGTATTTAAATTGAGTTTATTGACTATGAATCACTTGTTAATAAGATTGCCATTTGATAATTTCAGAAACTGTTTTCATTTGGTTTGGAGATTATTATACAAGCATCACCCAAGAAAACAGGTTTGGAGATAGCATTTATAGGAGGTTGAAGGCCATTAACATAAATATAAAGAGTAGAGGATGAAATATCAAGCCTTGTTGGATTCCTTGTTGTACTTTATCCTAACTTGAGGCAGTGTTATCATGTGTGACAGACTTTATCGCAACTTTGCCTCATGTTTGCAAGGTACAGATTAGGAGCCTGCTGCAAATCCTTCAGTCACTCAGGTAGTAGTTCACATGCTACTCATGTCATTTCAGTTTGCACATATTCAGACTTGTGGTGTGGTTGACAAACCAGTCATCTGTCACACTGCAGTTTCCTTTCAGTATCGCCCCATTAAATTTTTTAACTGCCAGTGTGAACTGAGCTGATGTGTTATATGCTAGTAAGTAAGTAAAAAAGAAAGTAAAGGTATCCCTGTAACAAGCTGTGGATGCCCATAGGGTTGTGAGATATTGAGGTTCCCACATTTTCTAGAAACCAGCTCATAGATGGCGGCAAGGTTGTCAGCCGTATGCGCTGGCCGCCCTTTACCCCCAAGAATATTCCTGGTACTCATTTTTGTTAGAGGCTGATCGACCCAGGGCTATAGTGCAACTGGAAAGATTAGGTCAGTTGAAAAAATCCAATGACCTCATTGTGCCTTGAACTCGCGACCTTCTGGCTTGTAGCATAGTGCCTCAACCAACTACGCTACTGTATGCACTCATAAATCATAAGCCTCATGTTGATACTGCTACTGTATTTCACCTGTGTGATAAGCAGTCATGACTCTCTTTTATTTTTCTCTATTGAAATGCCACATGAGGCTTACACATTGGAGCATTAAGTGTTCCTGTATAATACCTGTGTGAAATGTGGTTGCTTAAGGAAAGTGAGAAGTTTCCAGTGTAAATTTCAGATGTTACAGTTTCACACAGATGAAAACTGCCCATGCAAGTGTACATTAATTAATGCAGACAGGGTTGTTTAAGATTTGATTTGCTCTCCTCCCAAAAAGAAATACAGTATTTCACGGACTTCCAGAGAATGCACACATAAAGACTGGGACCATTTCTGGCATCTACTGTGATCTGAGTGGATTTTGTTTGTTGTTTCTTGGCATATGGGCTTGTTGACTGTTCTGTGGGTCAGATCACGTGTTGCGCAGTTGCCACAAGGAGCTTGTCTGTCTTCCTTTTGACTAGCCAAAAGATACGTGGCAGGCTCTCAGGTAACCTCCCTGTGTGATTTAAACCGTTTGCCTTCATTCCCACTTGTCCTGTAATAAAATAATTCTCTAAGTAACATCCTGTGATGAATTATCGTCCAGTGCCTAGTAAGGTCACAAAACATTCCTGCAACATGAATTTTGGTGTTTAAAACCTTAAGTATTTCGTGTTTAAGATTAAATATAGCTTCATTAGTGGATAGATTCCCCACCTCCACAGCCAAACCAAGATTATATTCAGTTGAAATGATGCATTCAGAGTTAGCACATACGTTTCTCAACTATTTTAGAGAACAGAAGTGATATAGAAGCTGAGCTATGTTTTGAAATGTGTAACAAACCTGTTTTGTGTGTGTGTGTGTGTGTGTGTGTGTGTGAAGGCGTGCCTTCCTTTTTTGTGTGTGTGTGTGTGTGTGTGTGTGTGGGTAGTTGGCCACTTTGATCTATAAACCTATTCCATATGCTTATTGCAATGCAGTGGTGCACATAATCTATGATTTGTTCTAACCCATTTTTCAGTGCTTTGTGCATCTTTCCGAGGGTACCCTTTGATGGGAAAAATTATTCCTCTACCACAAGGATATAGAGGTATTGTTGCACAAGAAAATGTTAAACCTATGACTGAAGGAGCAGAAAGGAATATCCATGTTATGCATACCTTCACATCATTTACATACTGGAACTGGGATAAGCCTCCTTGTCAGAATGATGCTCTTCTTTCAGCTTTGGATTGGGTTGATGTTTCTGAAGTGGTAATAATTGACTTTATACACTGCATAGCCACTTGTTTGTAAGGTATGCTGTTATGTCAATACTGTTTTACATTTTTTCAGCTTCATTCAACAACAGATGAAAGCAATGGATAGCTAATATTGGAATAACTGGAATTGGTGCTCCCATCTGCTGCTAACCTCAGGAATTCATGTTACTGGAATTAATCAATAGTGTTTTGTGTTCAAGAGTGTAAGATTTCTCTCTCCATCACAGTTCTGATTTGAATGAGACTTCAACTGCAGATTGCAGCGAAAAGTATGAAGTGTTACCATGTTAGTTGTTCAAATGTGAGAGAACATTGTATGGTATTTCATTTGACAATAATATACAGAAATGATAATGGATATATCTCCTCCATATTTTTCAAGTAACAATATAACTTCCTCCTCTACTTCTTCCCCATAATGCCATCTGACTGATTCAGTACACACACTTCTGGCAGCATATGGAGTCACAGACTCACTCATTCATGGAATTCAGCCCTTCCTGAGAAGCTGCCAATTGTGCAGCTCAAGAAAATTCCAAGCATTTTATGGAACCCAAAGGTTCATTACCGTGTTCACAACAGCCTTCCACTGGTCCCTATTGAGTCAGATTAATCCAATCCATGCCATCCCATCTTATCTCTCTAAGGTCCATTTTAATGTTGTCCACTCACCTATTCCTTGGTCTTCCCAGTGGTCTCTTTCCTTCTGGCTTTCCCACCAATATCCTATATGCATTCCTTGTCTATCCCATTCGTGCTACATGTCCTGCCCACTTCATCCTCCTTGACTTGATCATTCTAATTATACTTGGAGAAGAGTACATGTCATGAAATTCCTCATTATGCAGTTTTCTCCAACCTCCTGTCACTTCATCCCTCTCTGGTCCAAATATTCTCCTCAGCACCCTCTTCTCAAATACCTTCAGTCTTTGTTCCTCCCTTAAAGTCAGAGACCAGATTTCACACCCATACAAAACCATAGGCAAAATTGTAGTTTTCTGTATTCTAATTTTTATATTTTTAGACAGCAGATGAGAGGACAAAAGGTTCTGAACTGAATGGTAGCCAGCATTATCCAAGTTCAGACTCTTAATTTCCTCCTGAATTAGATTTTGATTTGTTATCATCATCATCATCATCAGTACTCTGTCAGACGACAGGTCCACAGTCTCTTCCAAAACAATTCCTCCACTTAATGCGATCTAGAGCTTTCTCCTTCAAATGACAGTATCCTCTTCTGTCCCCAAGGTCATCCAGCATCTTCTTACGTCTTCTTCCTCGTCTTCTGGTCACTTCTATCCGCCCCTCTGTCTTTCCTTCAATAACTTCTTTTAGAAGGCAGTTTCTGCGTAAAACATGGCCAATCCAATTAGCCTTCCGTTTTCTTATTTCGTGTAGGATATTCCTCTGCTCACTGACTCTAATTAACACTTCTTCATTTCTCACATAATCGGTCCAACTCATCTTCTCCATCCTTCTCCAACACCACATTTCGAAACTTTCCAGATGTTTCTGATCTACTGCCCTAAGTGTCCATGTTTCAGCCCCATACAGAGCTATGCTCCAAATGTAGCATTTCACTAGTTTCTTCCTTAAATTTAAGTCAAATTTGCTGGTAAAAAGATTCTTCTTCTTGCTAAATGCAGCTTTTGCCATGGCAATCCTGGATTTAATTTCACTAGTACACCTTCCATCATCTGTTATAGTTGTTCCCAAATATCTGAACTGCGCCACTTTCTCAAGACGTCTCCTAGACAAGTGGTTCCCAACCTGTGGTCCGCGAGTAATTCAAAAGGGGACCGCGGGATAGCTTATTTTCATTATCTTATCATGTTCCTCATACCTGGGATATTTGCAATGTATATCGCTGGCTCTTGAGGCCCAAAGTTGAAGTAAAATTTAATGGGACTGTTGGTACCATTACTTCTTCCCTTTGAAAAGCAGAGGTGAATAACCAACGATTTGTGTAACTTTTTCCGAGGACATTTTCTTTTGGTCGGCCCATTGCATCTCAGACCCGTGTTTCAGGGTGGACTGTTGTCTTTACCTGCTGTCTGACCATTCTCCCCCTCCCCACCAAATCCATCTCTCTTTGGTTAGGAATAAAGCTGGGACCATTGACCACGTTTCGTATTCATTTCAGTGTCAGCGTGAACAGCCTATGTCTCTTTAGTTTTTGTGCAGTGGATTTTTATAATATTATAAAAGTGTGTTTTTCTCGGTTTAATATCCAGTTTTTCTGCTCTTGTTCAAATAATTGAGTTCACAACGAAACTTTTGATTTTCAGTTTGTTCACGATCCTATTTAGATATGGATCGGTGGTTAAAGTGTGGATCGTTGATTAGGTGAGTGTTAAATTCATAACATTAGGCATAATTAATGTGTTCGTGATCTTCCGAATAAGCTCCATTTATAACAGTATTTTATTGTCATAAATGACACATTTAGTGTTGTAAAATTTAAGTTACTGCTTCACTTTCATGATATGTAAAATATAAAAAATTTCCATTTAGGGTTTTATGGGGGCCGTGGTCAATTAACATTCGGTACAGGGGGTCCCCAGCATCAAAAGTTGGGAAACGCTGTCCTAGACCAACCTCTTTACTAGCATCAATTGAGGTTTCTGTTTTCTTCTTTAGGGTATCTATGTTACCTTCAAATAGAATCACAATATCAGCATAGTCCAGCAGCTGAAGCATCCCATTTAATTTCAGTCCCACCTGGTTTTCTTGGACATTCCTAATGGCATATTCTAAAGCAAAATTGAAAAGCACTGGCGATAAAGCATATTGTTTTAGACCATTCTGAATAGGATAATTATCAGACAAATGTTTACCTTTACTTTACCATACATTTTGTTTAAACACATTTTAACCAGCCTGACTGGTTTCATGGATATCCCAAACTCTATCAGAGTATTGTACAATACTTCCCTCCTAACTGAATCATAGGCTTTCTTGAAGTTACGAATAGCTGGTGTACTGTCTCCTCGTACTCCCATTTTTTTCTCCAGTATGCGATGAGTGCAAAAGGTCTGATCAGTTGTTGATCTATAATGTTGAAACCCACACTGATGATCCCCAATAATTTCATCTTTGTATGGACTTGTATATGGAGTCATTCCATGTTAAATCAACACAAAGTTGACATGACCCCCTTGGAGTTCAATGAAATTTTTTGGTCCTGTGTCAATTAATTTTAGAGTTGTTGCATTTTGGAATATTCTATAACTTTCCTAGACTCTGATTCCCCAGAAGGGGCACACAGTAGCATAGTCAGTTGAGGCACTGCTACAAGCCGTAAGTTCACAGGTTCAATTCCCGATGAGGTCATTGGATTTTTTTTCAATTTACCTAATCCTTCCAGCAACATCATGGCGCTGGGGGGTGACTCAGCCTCTTACAGGAATGAATACTGGGAATCTTTCTGGGGGTAAAGGGCCGCCGGCACATAATGCTGACAGCCTCACCGCCATCAGTGAACTGATTGTCTAGAAAATGTGGGAGCCTCAACATCTCGCAGTACTATGGGCCTCCACAGACTATTACAGGGATAGCTTTATCTTTCTTTTTACCTTACCTTTACCTGATTCACCAGAATGTTTATAACTCTGGCCCTAATTAAGATACAGAACCCATTCCTGTACCAAGTGTAAGCTTTTAAGTGGGCCTTTCATTGGGTATGTCACTTAAATATTTTAGGGCACATTAATATTTTACTGTTTAACCTTAGACCTTAATTTATGAAAATGTATACACAGATTTAATTTTTTCCAGAACATTTTTGTTGATTCCTTAAGTACATTTTTGGAAAATTTAATGTTCAGGCATGAATGGGTTGATTTGATGTGTATTTGTTTATAGATTACATGTTTGATCACTTGGATCAAAGATTAGATTATGCCACATAGTTAATACAACACTAGTAAGAAAGAAGAAAGAAACCTGGCAGGCCTGTTCATCAAAATATAAATATTAGTTTTGATGTAAGTAAGAAATACTGCCTGTAAGATTAGATATTTGGAATTGGGATAGTTAATCAGTATAGTGATGGGCTGCTGAAATTTAAAACTGTTTAATTTTTTCATTGATGTCATATTCTGAGCTCAAAGATACAATTGCCTTATTTCAAAAACTTTCAGGTAAATCCGCAGTAGTTTTCCTATATTTACCACAAATACTTTGTCCTTTCTGAATATTAAGAACAAATTTTTTATCGTTCAGTCCAACACACATCTCAATATTTGTTGGAACTTCTAATGTGACTGACATTCAAGGGATTACAACATCATTTTAAAACATGAAGTTCTTTGGCACTTATAGAACTTGCAGCCATTTGAAACATGGCAAAAATTAAAATTAATTTTGCACTTGACTAAACCACTATAGAATTTTCCACACAAAAATATACAACTTAAATCTACTGGCATCAGATATGAACTGGAAAACTGGATGAATCATGATGCCCTGCAGAATGTCTGTACAGGTCATAACAAGACTCCTTATGTCTGATAAGTCCACTAACTGACGGAAAACCACATTTTATGTACAACCATAATAATTTCCAAAGGTGTGTTCGAATGATCACTGAGCAGTGTGCGGAGAAAACTTGCATAAATCTGGTTATACATTAAATATTCCAAGTGGCATGACAAATGAAAGCCCCACTTACAGGCTTTCAGCCAATGTAAGAATCAGCTTTCTCTCTTAATTAGGATCCCTTATAAACATTTTAGTGAATCAGAACAAGAGACAATTCAATTAAAAATCAACTTTCAAAATGCTTACCTCTGCCATTAACACAGGGCAGAATTTCATATATGACACTTCTAGGGAGCCCCAGCAAGCTTGCAGAATTTTATTCAAATCAAAGATGGTTATGAAAAATTTTTCCTCCAGACTATGTTGATTTGACATGGGATGATCTTTGCCCTTCCTTTTGCATCACAAGTCCAGAGTAGTAGTTCTCTTTGAGGTAAGTCAGTCTTTGGTAAGTTTGGTCACATTGGCTAGTACTGGGAAACTTTTAGCATAAGGTGATCAAGCACAATTGTCACTGAATTCAAATCTTATATTAAGTTACTGAGCCCAGTGTTATCTTTCCTAACTAATCTCTGAATGTGGTTTTTATTGAAGGTTAATAGTCATAACACTAAATATTCCTACTCAGTAAAGATATTTCAAGTATCTTTCCCACAGTGTTTTTAGTCTTCATGTTATGGTGTCCACAGTTACCTGTGGCTGGTTAAGTAATAAGTAACTCTCCATAACATGTCTGTAATGGGAATAGTTGTACAGTGTATTTGAAAGATGCAGAAAGAAGCAACCACAGCATGAGAAACATTACAAACAGAACAC